GGGGGGGGGAGAAAAGTCAGGCTAACTGGGGAGGGGGAAGAAAAGTCAGGCTAACTGAGGGTGGGGAGGGGGAAGAAAAGTCAGGCTAACTGGGGGTGGTGGTGGGCGCTCTTTCCAAGAGATAACACGGGCGCGACGGTCCGAATGGCATCTCCAACAAAAGCAACCTCGCCTCCAGCTCCCAAGTCGGAGTTTCATCCCACACTAGGGCAAAACACAAAGCAAAAAGAAACGACAGAGACAAGTTTAACTTGCATTTTGGTGGTGGGAGGAGGGTGGGGGAACTCGAGTTGGCAATTTGGGAGTTTTGACAAGCGCCTTCCTGGAGAAGTAGCAAGGCATAAAGAAATGCCCGTCGTCCTAAACGTCCAAGACAAAATAGAAATAACGCTTTCTGGCCTCTGAAGGGTTAGAATTATCTTTGGAGATTGACTCCCGGGCAATGCGAGAGAGCAGGGAACCGGAGTTAGCACCAAGTTTTTGCAGAATGAAGGGATGAAGCCGATACCTATCGCTGCAAATCACCGATTATTATTGTTTTACACTGACTTTTTTATGCAAATATTGCACAAGTTGAAGCGAGACTTGTATTTTTCCCACTTACATCCACCCTGGCGCTTTCCGCCCGAATCCACTTCACTCTCCATCGCCCTCCTGAGAATTTTGGCTCAATTGTTCCCTAGTTTTTCCTCACGGAATAAAAAAGTAATTTCCTCAGGGAATGACAACCGCCGCCGACTCTCGCTTCCGAAAATCCCGCCAGAATTCCAACGGCCATAGGCGGCCGGGCGGCGCGAGGCCCGCCGGGAGTTGTAGTTCCAAGAGTCACGAAGCAAGGCGGCGCAGATGGGGGAATGGTCGTACGGACTACAACTCCCGACGTGCGCCGCGGCCGACGCCTGGGGCTATTGTCCCCGATCCTCCACCAAACGGGGAAGTGTTGGGAGGGCGGACTACAATTCCCGTGGTGCGCTGCGACACCCTTGCGTTGGGGTTGGGGGGAAAAGCGGAAGGCGCGATCGCGGATTGGTCCGAGTCACTGTCTATCAAGGGCGCGGGGCGGCCGATCGACGCAAGCCGGGTGGGCGTGTACCCTGGTTGCCATGACGACGGAGGAACACAAGATCCAGGGACATGTTGGCAACTGGATCCCTTGGAACCATAGACTGGAGACCAGCTCCTGCAAAAGAGTGGCTTCTCCATGGATTGCCTTCTGCTCCAGAAAAGGAGGCATTTAAAACAAACTGCAGCATTTTCCTCTTGAGGTAAGGCAGGAGGATGGAGTGTTAAATAGTTTTTATTCCTTGCTTTTTCCCTCTTTCTGCCTTTGCTATTTTGTGTTTCATTCACTTTAGGAGTCGCCGATTGGACCCAGCCTTTGTTGCCCATCCCTATTCTTCCCCTTGAGAAGGTAGTGGTGAGCCACCTTCTTGAACCGCTGCAGTCCATGTGCTGTGCATGATGCCCTTGGGGGATGAATTCCAGGATTTTGACACGGTGACACTGAAGGAACGGTCAATATATTTCCAACTCAGGATGGTGTGACTGGGGCTAGGAGGGGAAATTGCAAGGAGTGGTGTTCCCACGTATCTGCCACCCTTGACCTTCCAGGTGGAAGTGGTCATGCGTTGGGAAGGTGCTGTATGGGGATCTTTGGTGAATTTCTGCAGTGCATCTTGCAGACAGTACACACTGCCGCTACTGAGCGTCGGTGGTGGAGGTAGTGGATGTTTGTGGATGTGGTGCCAATCAAGCAGGGCGGCTTTGTTCTGGATGGTGTCGAGCTTCTCGAGTGTTGTTGGAGCTGTCCCCATCCAGGCAAGTGGGCAATATTCCATCACAGTCCTGACTTGTGCCTTGTAAATGGCAGACAGGCTTTGGGGAGTCAGGAGATATGATACTCACTGCAGTATTCCCAGCCTCTGACCTGCTCTTGTAAACACAGTGTTTAAGTCATAGGTCCAGTTGAGTTTCTGGTCAATGATAATCTCCAGAATGTTGACTGTGGGTGTTTCAGGCAAGTGGGCAATATTCCATCACACTCCTGACTTGCGCCTTGTCAGTGGAGGACAGGCTTTGGGGAGTCAGAAGATGAGTCACTCACTGCTGTATTCCGAGCTTGTGACCTGCTCTGTAACATTTGAACATAGAGGTAGGAATCTTCACATGGTTATCAGGAGGCCTCAGTCAAGTCAAGCCTTCAGTCAGGGGGATCCCAGCACAGTGAATCCAGGCTAGTCTCCGATACCAGAATGAGAGAGAGGGAGGTGCAAGTGGGTGACACAGTTATATAGGTAGGGAGGTGTCTCGAGTTGACAATGCAGTGTGCATTCAGGTTTGATGCTGCCAGAGGGCTTGGGGTGGTTGGCAGTGAGTGAGGGAAGATGAGGCAGGCACTAGTGAGAGTGGTGGAGCAGGAAGTGGGTACAGCAGCAAAGAAAGAGCGAAGTGAAATATCACAGTGAAGGCGGTGGCCCTTACCCTGGCAGAGCAGAGATGGTCATTGAACTTCTGACAGTGCTGGGCATTCTTGCAGACTGCTTTAATCCAGGTCAAACCTTGAACCAGACTGGCACAGTCTGATGTCTTGGCTTCCACTGCTGATCGAAGTATAAGAAAGTCCTCCCTAACTCTCCACCTACACTCACCTTTACTGGCTCCATCCCCGCCTCTTTGACCTGTCTGTCTCCTCTCCACCTATCTCCTCCTCTATTCATCTTCTATCCGCCTCCCCCTCTCTCCCTATTTATTTCAAAACCCCCTTCCCCTCCCCCATTTCTGAAGAAGGGTCTAGGCCCGAAAAGTCAGCTTTCCGGCTCCTCTGATGCTGCTTGGCCTGCTGTGTTCATCCAACTCTACACCTTGTTATCTCAGATTCTCCAGCATCTGCAGTTCCTACTATCTCTATAGGAAAGTCCTGTTGTCGACCAGGATATTGTGCCCTTTAACCCAGTGCAACCCTTCCACATCTATCCTTTCAAGTCCTCTAAGAATCTTGTATGTTTCAGTCAGGTCTCCTCTCATTCTTCTATATTCCAATGCATACAGCCTCAAACAATTCGATCTCTCCTCATAAGACAGTCCTTCCATACCCAGGATCAGCTGAGTGAACCTTCTCTGGACTGCCTCCAGTGTCAGTATATCTTTCCTTAGACAAAACTGTTCTCAGTATTCCAGCTGTGGTCTGACTAATGTCTTCTTTAGTTTCAGCAAAGACTCCCTCCTTTTACACTGCATTCTCTTTCAAATAAAGGCCAACATTCCATTTGTCTTCCCTATCGCCAACTGAACATGCGTGCTAACTTTTTGTGATTCATGCATGAGGACTCCCAAACCCCTCTGTTCCGGAATTTTCTGCAGTCTTTGTCTATTTAAGTATACTCAGCTCCCCTACTCTTCCTGCTAAAGTGCATAATCTCACATTCTCCATTATATTCCATCTGCCAAGTTTTTGCCCATTCACTTAATCTGTCTATATCCTTCTGTAGACTCTTTGTGTTGTTCTCACCACTTGCCTGCCTCCTATTTTTGTGTATTAACATATTAGTGACAAAAGAAAAGCACTTCATTGGCTGTGAAACACATAGGAACCCTGTGAAAGGTGCTATTGTAATGCAGGTTAAGATTGGTTCGCTAGGATGATCCCTGGTGTGGAGGTGTTGGCTTATGAGTAAAGGCTAAACATGTTGGGAGTCTACTCATTGAGAAGAATGAGGTGATCTCATTGAAACATATTGGATCCTTAAGGAACTAGACAAGGTAAGTGTTGGGAGAAGAGTCTGGGACCAGAGGGCATAGTCTCAGAATTAAGGGGCACCAATTTAAGTCTGAGATGAGGAGGAATTTCTTGTCTCAGGAGGTTGAGAGTGTTTGGAATTCCTTGCGACAGAGAGCTGCGGGGTCAGAGTCCTTGTTGATATCTAACGCTCATTTAAGGAAAAGTTGGGGAATCAAGGGTTATGGGGAAAGTAGACTAAGGAATGTTAGATCAGCCACGACCATATTGAATGACAGAGTAAGCTTGAGAAGTAAAACAAGCTGCCTCTTGTTCCTGTTCATTATGGTCTTATTGTCCTCGGAGAGCTAACGCTGTGTTTGCTCCCAATAGGCACGGTCCCGGGACGTTGGGCCAATGTCTTCCGACCTGGCAACAACAGACGAACCATCAGGTGTCATTCAAGGCCAGCGGGAAAATGAGAAGGGCCCAAGGAGGAAGAAACATCACAATAGCGGGGAGCCCGTGGAGAGACGGCAGGACGTGTTGGAAATCCAAGCGGAGATCGAGAGCCTGACCAGGGCCGGAAGCCAGGCCTTGGCTCAGGAACGTTGTGGGGAGGCCCTGACCGCCTTCAAGAAGGCCTTCCTGGCTTCGCTGGATGTGACAGAGCAGCAGGTGCAGAGGGCCTGCGCTTTCAACCTGGGTGCGGCCTACATAGCTTCCGGCCGCCCCGCCAAGGGCCTAGACTTCCTGCTCCGCTCGCAGCCAGACAAAGGCGGGGAGAGGCAGGGCGACCTGCACTTCAACCTGGGCTTGGCCCACGAGGGGCTGGGAGACCCGCCGGCAGCCATCGAATACTACCAGCGGGCTCTGGCCCACTATCAGAGCCAGCAGGGCCACGGCGAGGCGGACACCCACATGAAGCTGGCTGGTTGTCGGGCTCGGGCTGGGGAGCTGGACCAGGCCGGCCGCTGCTTCCGCAGGGCGGGCCTGGCCTATCGGCGGGCCGGGAGCCTGGACCTGGCCGCCATTGCCCTCAACGAGGCCGCATGCCACATGCTGCAGTGCCAGTGCTTCACCGCTGCGGAGATCACAGAGGTGCTGAACGAGTGCCGGACTGTCTGCACCAACATGCAGAACAAGGCCCTCCTCGGTGAGTGCACTTTCCAGGGAGTCACTGTTTCAAAGACCACACACAACCAGTAGGCCTCAGGAAGTAGGGTGGCATGGTGGTTCAGTGGTTAGCATAGCCGCCTCACAGCACCGGGGATCCAAGCTTGATCCCACACTTGGGCAACTGAATGGAGTTTGCACGTTCTCCCCCCGTGTCTGCGTGGTTCCCTCTGGGTGTTCCGGTTTCCTCCCACAGTCCAAACGTGTGTAGGTTAGGATGGATTGGCCATGCTAAATTGTCCCATAGTGCCCAGGGATGTGCAGGTTAGGGTGGAT